GGGGGGGGGGGGGGGGGGGGGGGGGAGGATTGGGGTTTGGATCTAGCATTTGATTACTCGATGACCTTGGGAGTAATTCGTAATATGAGAGAAAAGTGTTTGGAGGAGATGTATAGGTAAATGTGATTCAGATACTTAGGAACTCAATTTCGTCACCGACTTCAGGTATCAATATTGGTATATGTGAGAGGGTTGAGGGTTGGGAGTTGAACCTTCCTTTCTGTATACTAACCGTGTTCTTGCTCAAGTACCTAGTGAGAGGAGGTTAAGGAGATTGAAGTGAAAGTAGAATATGAGGGAAGGGGTGACTACCTACCTAAGCCATGCCTATGTGTATATATATTGGGTAGCCCTTTACTTATAGCTTCTATATATTGTTTAACTTCTTTTATTATAGTCAGGGATATCTTGGTGTCTTGGGAGAGTAATTATTAATCATGAGTACTGTACCTGCGTACCTAAATGAACGGCGAGGTATTGTGTAAACACCCTAGGCTTAGCGAAATGTGATGAAAAGACCGTCGACACTTACGAGGAAGTGCTGGTGCTATTTTGGAACGTGCTTATAAACTGTGCTTGGATATTTCTCCTTATTTATATAAGATTACCAAGATGCAGATATACAACTTTTCACTGAACTATTGAGAGAGCTTCTCTATACTTTTTATGAGAAGGTAGATACCGATCTAAATCCCACCTTGTCTAATTCGTGATGTTCGCTTAGGGGAAGTCGTTGGAAGCTTATCAATTCAATCATACCTAGTGAGTTGCTTATAGATAAGATGCATATTTATCTCTCCGCTTCTAGGTAATTTAGATAAATATAGTGGTAATAATAGCTGGTATATTCTTTCTCTACGTGAAGGAGTAGGTAGATAAAGGGGTAGACCAGCTAGTAGATAGAGAAGTATAGAGGGAGGTATTTGAGATTATAAGTCAAGGTACAAGCATTTAATAAGAAACATTAATCTTCTAGCAATCTTTGATATTCCTGTCTATATATCCCTACCTAAAGGTTTATTGAACTATTGATCCCCGAGAGTCGATGGTCTAAGGAGACCAGGTCTGTGCCTGAGACAGTAAATACCCGTGGACGGACTTTGTTAAGTATTGAGTCTCCTAGACGATTTTCGGATATACAAGTGTGAAATGATTGCAGGGTAAGAGTCTGAGTACCGGAAGTATATTTTAGACTTCATCCAGGAACGTTGATCCTCTTGGTATGTAAATCTCCGCATGAGGATCAGTGGAGAATCATGGATGAAGCTTTGATAAAATAGCGATACCGGGTAGAATCAAGATGCCGTAGTTCAGCCAGAGAGGCCAAACAGACCTCGGGAGCCTCTGACGCAATTTTGAAAATCAGCCACCTCACATGCGGAGTAGCACACGACTGATCTTCTTTCATCCTGAAAACATCAACACCATACACAATCACATCCTCTTCTACTCCTCTTCAGTACACAGTACTTTTACACCACCTATCAACTCTGCGTATATACTGATCCTATCAGCTACCCCTCTCTCTACCCAGAATGTCGTACGCATCAGTAGCAGCTTCAGGCCCTGCACAGTCACCCGAGGAGGTATGTAGAAGTACCCTTTTCTTAGATCTTGAACGCGGCTATATTTGACAGCTCTAGACCGTGGTCTTCAGCTTCAAATATCTCTCATGATACTCGCTTCCAGCTTCAGAGCACCCAGCGACCACCGTTGGACACAGCTAACAGCTCCATAGAAACGGGCCCCACCACAACCAGAGATTGAGAGCGTCGAATCGATCAGCACCTCATCCCTCGTCGACGTCGACTCAGAATCCGTACACACCGTCCCCTCTGGCTTCGAATCCCAAACCATCAAGACCGACACCCAAGCCGATCGTCTCGAGCGCGAAGCCATCGCTGCCGAGGCGCGTGCCAAGGCAGAAGTTCAGAAGGCCTCAAACGAAGCTAGTAAGAAGGCAAAGGAAGCTAAGGCCAAGGGAAAGAAGGCGGTAAACAAGTTCGAGGAGAACAGTGACAACCCCGTCTTCATCGCCAATGCTATCGCTGTTGTGGGGTTGAGTGCTGGTTTGGGATTCGGCGCGTATAGAAAATATGCTGCTGGGGAGTTGACCTGGAAGGTTGTTGGTGCTTGGGCCGGTGTTGTGGGTCTGTTTGCCGCGGGAGATTTTTACTTGAGCCAGTGAGTTTCTCCCTCCCATATCGCCATAAAGGTGCTAATTTAGTACTCAGATACCTGTTCAAGAACAAGTATCCAAAGAAATAAACTGATGGGATGATGGAAATGAAGATATAAGAGGTTCGATTTCCAATTTGGCGCATGTGCGGTTGTTTGGCTATGCGTATGGGGCGTTTCTCGATTTCCTGCTTCGGACACTCTGCTCTTGCACTTGTATCGATCTGCGTTTTCTCCCTAAGCGTTTCTTCAATCAGGATTCCTAAAGGCGATCGGCATAATTCCAGAATCAAATTCGTAAAACCTAGGGCCCGTCCCAATCTTGCCAGTGCGTTTGTCCCATGTTATATTTTACAATTGTTCCCCCCACAATCTCAGAATCCTTTCCATCAAATTGTTATCATATATCATCCCCCAAAACTTTTCCTTATTTCGCAATCACAACAACCCAAACATCTCCACTGTCAAACACCCTCTTCAAACTCTTCTTCCTGTTTATACTGCCATGCCCCGACCTCCTACAAAACTCCTCCAATACATCATCCTCTTCCAAAACACAACGATACGCAGCGTCCAATAAATAAGTCCTCTCATTTGGCTCCATCCTTTCTCTCACTAATCTCCTTTCCATTCCATGCTCTCTAACACCAGCCTTTTCATCCTCCTTATCCTTATCCGCTGCCTCATAGTCGCAGGAGTCCCGTTCGAGACACCCGACCATCAGGTAGGCGGTGTACATAAATATGAAGATGAAAACTGGGAGTAGGAGGAGCAGTAGTGCTGTGTGGTCTTGGCCGGTGGTTGGACGGGTGTGGTGGAAGTCTTGGTTGCGGGCTTGGGTTTGTTGGAAGGAGTGGGTGTTCTGGTTCGTGGGGCGGCAGGGGGAGAGGAGCGTTTTGAGATGTGGTAGAGAGAGCGGGGATTGTGGACACGGTGGGAGGGGCGCCATCTTGCTGTCGTTCGCTGTGGGAGGAGTAAGTTCTTGGGTTTCTCTGACGGTTCTAGGGGAGGTGACTCACGATGGTATTTGTGATTAGTCTTCGAGGATGTGTTCAAGTCTTGTTTCTGAGTGCGGAGATCTCTGAGGTTCTCTCTCGTTGTGGTTGTAGTTTTCTAGTGTTGTGCTTTTTTTGTCTGATATTCTTGGGATGGAGAAAAGTACTATGGTGAGATGAAATTTTTCCCGGGAAGGGGGAAGGGGATTCGAGATTTTTCATGGCTTCATTATTAGGTCACTATCCTCGTTGCTCTAAAGTAGCGAAGAGACGATGGTTTTAGGAATATCTCGGTTATGAGTTTTTTTTTTTGGTGGGGACTTGGTGTGGTTCGGTTGGTAATTAGGTGATACTACTTCCCTGGTAGTTGTGGGCTAAATTGAGGCTCCGCTTTAGTTATTCGCTTCTCTCTAAATCGCGTAATGGGCAACAATGGCTGATCGTGATTTACCTTTTTTTGCGGTGCTAGCACGTTAAGAAGGTATCTTTCTACGGAGCTGCGCTAAGAAAAATATCGACCCTTCTTCTCAGTCGATCAACGGAAAGGAGAAATTAGACGAGGAGGGACGTTCTCCTCGGATAGTGAGTGATCGCGTCGTTCTCTCCTGTAGTATTACATATCATATATTTGGTAAGATCGTTTCCTCCAACAAATTTCACTTTTTCGAGTAGTTGCTAATAATAACTTTCTAAGTGTTTGCTACATGTAGAGAAAATTGACAAAAGCAAGGTTGGTCAGATATCAACGAGCGAGAAGAGGAAGAGATGAGATTCCGAGGAAATGATCTAGATACACCAGCTCCGGGATTCCTTTTAGGGGTTATATAAGAAGTGTATATCCACCGACATCAATCTAGTATCGACCATGTATATGGCAGTCGTGGATCCAGACTCACAGCCATTTCTTGTAACGCCTGTCGCTATCTCAAATTCCCAGCCAACCGGTAACCTATCAGGAATCTGGGGGGGCCACTACTGCGCAGTTTTCTTTACTGTAAAAACAAATGTTCTATAAAGTGGGCCTGATTGCTGTCGAATGAAGCCTTGCTGTCGATATCGAGTCGCTCATTTGTGGCAGGGTGAGAAAGGGGAAGTTAAATTAAAATAATCCGTAAATTAGCGAGGCCTACTGACTGGAGATGAGTAATCGGAGCAAAGTATACGCGTACTCCTTCTGCTTGCAACTTGTCTCTGAAAGGTCCACCCGTAAAATGAGAACAATTATCTGAGTAATTCACCCTGAACCATCCAAAGTAGGAAGCCGCACTGTCTTGAACAAATCTCAATGCGTTTGTGGGCAGGCTTCCAGAGGACTGAAAAGTCTCCAGGTCCACAAGGCTCGCAAATTCATGGGACGAAACTGTGCAGGATCTTATTAGTACCGTGACGGGTGTCCTTGAAGGTTATGTTGACGTGGATCAAATAGCTATTGTCGTTGGTATGGAGTCTGGGTGATTAGTGATTAAGGATGGAACGTTCAACACATGGGAGGAGGTGGTTAATAAAATGACCGCTGAGGTCGGTAATATCCTATCACCATTATCATTCTATGAATTAGGATTAGGACTTTGTTGCGTCTGCTCTCCCTCTTACGTTCTCGCTTTGAGGAGTGATGTTCTTCTCCCGTAGTACTCGTACTCGGGTTTCCAATAATCAGGCGCTTAACTGAGTGTATATACTGTAAGTATCATTGTATCCACCACAAGTTCACAAAACACATCTAGAGCAAAACCTAACAATCTTTTCTCTTAAACCAACCTGCCTATTACCACAATCTAGTATCTTCCAAGCTCCCTCTTTTAAAACCAACCATAACAGTTACAGAACTATCGAGCCAAGAACACTGACCTCCTTCCCACTACTGTACATAAACCCACAACCCTCAACCTCACGATCACATCCCGGTGGAAAATCCCCCAAAAAGATTTGAGGGTGTAAACATCTTCTACCTATGCCTATGCCACAGCGGTTACACACGGCCTTTCCTACGACATGCAACAGAAGAAATGAAACTGCAGCTCTAAACTGTTCTTGTATAAGTTCCGGGACGGTAGAGGAGTAGTTGGGATGTCAAGTTCTTCTCTATGAGCCGCGGCGGTTACATGCGGCCCCTCATACGATATGCAACGCAAGAAATGGGATAAAGAATTTTAGGACTAAATTGTTACTGGAGAAGTGCCCCGTCGTTTTGGGACCCTAGAGGGTTAGCTTTGGAGCGGTGCTGGGATGGTGTGGTTTGGGAGTTATAGTTTGGGGTTAGTTAGGTGGAGTCCCGAGTACACCTGGCGGACCTGCGGCGAGATTTTAGAGAGTGTACTTCTGTCACTTCTGTCACTTTTTTCATTGGGTGTGTTTGTTAGTAATATGAGATTGTGAGGAGTAGCATGTTTTTCATTGATGCTAGGAGAATTTCTCTCGGAACAAGTCGCTAGATTCTTGAGTACTGAGCGATCCTAGATTTTCATGAAAGGAGTAATTGAAATACTCTTTAGGAATTACAGAGAGGGTAGATAGCTACGTGGTTTTTTATACGATAACTACTTTATTGTATTTGAGACGCTCCGCAGGGAGCAGGTAAACCGACTCCCGGGAATACGGTAAATTGACCCCCTCGCCTAATAGGTGATCCTAGCTTTAGGTACGTTATTCGTACCTTCCTTATCTTATTCTTGGTACCATGCTATAGAATGCACAGTGGAGTAGGAGTGTGAGACTCAGACTTGGAAGGGGTATATATAAGAAAACAAGCACTTTCAGACGTCCTTCGGGACACTAGTATAATAGTAGTAAAATCGCATTTTATAATCAACTTCTTTGTAGTGGCCTCTAGTTTCAGCTAATACAACTTTCATTTAGTATTTAAATAGCGTTTCATGTACTAGAGTTTAAGTTAACGGGTATATTATTACGTAGGTTATTAACCCTTAAATTCAGGCCGCCCGTAGGAGTAAGACACGTAATTATTACTCTATATATACCTCTCTTATAATAATAAATTTGTTTTTAAAGCGTCGTTTAACTAAAAGAAATCTGTAATTAGTTTAGATTAATAGTACTACCTACTTTTAATTAATCTAGGTATAATTATACGATTGTTTTTATTATACTAGATCTTTAGTAGAATAACTTCTTATATTTATTTATTTAATTTATTGCTATTTAACGTCAGGCGGAATCTAACTCGCGTGGGCTAGGTCCTAAAAGTCCCAGTGTTGGGCAAATGACGCTAGGGGGGTGCCCTAGGCTACAGGGGGTGTAAATGAAAGTGCGCTAATTTACAAGAGATAGTTTAAAGAGAAGCCCCACTTCCGGAACAGCTCTCGTTCTGAGTTAGTTTAAGAGCTAGAGTAAAAACAAGTTAACAGTGTACAAGATAGTGAGTAGAGAACAAGAGAAGAACTATATAAGACAGGGACCAGAGAACAGTAGAAAGAGGAGATATAGTGTAAGGAAGAAAACTATCTAGGAGGACAGATCCTGGAGTAGAACTTTGTCTTGTAGTAGATCTTGTGAAACAGTTCCTCGCATTGTGGTCCGAAGAGGAGTTGAAGGTTCCTCTGAGCCTTTGCAAATAGCTCAGGGGCTACTCTATTTGCTAGCCGGCAAAATAGTAGGTGGAATTGAGTCTTTTCTCTTCCACATTTACACTCCCCTGAAGTAAGTAGCGTGTCGAGGTGAAAGAAGCGAAGGTGAAGAGCCTTTGCAAATAGCTCAGGGGCTACTCTATTTGCTAGCCGGCAAAATAGTAGGTGGAATTGAGTCTTTTCTCTTCCACATTTACACTCCCCTGAAGTAAGTAGCGTGTCGAGGTGAAAGAAGCGAAGGTGACAAAGAGTAAAGTCACCGTGGCCGGAGCGAGCTGCAATTAAGCGAGCAAGAACCTCCCTTGGTAAGCGAAGTGATTGAGGCTTCGAAGACCAGTTGTTAAGCCCTAGGTCCTTGTATAAGCTTGGAAGCGTAGTTTTCCAGAGTTTCTTTGCAAGCTGAACCCCTGTCTAGTTTTGTGGAAAGTGTTCCGGGAGAAAATATACTACGCAAAGTAATATTCTAAATACTATGGTTTAAATATATTTGTAATTTATAGAGAGAAGAAGTGTAGGCTCACAGATTTATAATAACTTAGCTTATTATAATTTACGTGGCTAGTGATCATAGCGGCTTCGGCTATAGAGTATACTAAGACGTGAATTACAAAAATGACGATATAATTTAGCCTAGGGGCTATATTTTCTTTTACGAAATCACTTACAGTAGTGTTGGGAACCACGTTAGTATAATACTACAACAGATCTTTGTAACTTCTATTGTAATAGGTGGAATGAACAATTTACTTTTATGACATAATTACGAAGAAGATCAAGGTCTGGGATAATATCCAAAAAAAGTAAAGTAAAACACGAGAGGAAGATAAAGAAATAAATAACACCAAGCCTGGCTCATACAGTATCTACATACCTCTCCTCCTCTTTCCCTCTCCCGCATTACTCCTAGTGCTCCACCGCTCTCTCTTACACCCAAACTTCTCCCACCTGTTACTTTACATATACACACAACCTCCCCCTATCCTCCTTCCCACCTCCTCCCTCATAAAATAGAAAGAGTAAATATATAATCCATCTCCGCCTAACTTCCAACTCAAGATATCCACATACCACCCATAGCATTTAGCTTACCTACCTCATCTACCTCTTCTACCTCTTCTTTCACCCAAAGTGCCCACCAGTATCCGTACTCTTAACCACGAAAATCCAAGCTTTAACTCGGTACTTAGATACATTCTCGCAATTTTAATCCATTTCCTTATTTCAAAGATCTGTGAGCTTAGACCACACCCAAGAACCTCTCAATTCCCCCAAAGCCCCCAACAGAAACCTAACAATCAGACAACAACCACCCTAAAAAACGACAACAAAAATCCCATTCGACACTAACATCCCCTTATGCCTCCTCTCCCTCTTATTCCAAAAACCCCCAAACCCCCGCCCTCCCAGTCCTCACATCGCACATCGTAAATATCTCGCAAGCCATATAAACCCATACACCAACCCCCCTTCCTCACTCCACAAAAGAATACCCTAAGGAACCACCTATGAATCAAAGTTTCAACTTTCCCCTCAATGACAAATTGACGACGCATCTTTGTACATAGCACAACACTTTTTTTAGCTGAACTTACCTTCATGTGTGTATTGAAAAAGACTACTCTCCTGGTTACCCACCAAGCTCAGGATACCCGTAAGCAACCAGTGTAACCAAGATACTTTACCGCATTAGTCACAATACCCGACAGAGCTCTCATTATCACCATTTTCATTCTTGATATCCTCCCGTAAGAAATGAGAGAGAAAACATAGACCTTCATTATTTTTTTACTTTGTACTAAAAGAGTAAATAAAAAAAGGTCAAAGAGGCGCTAACATTCGCTCTCGCTCTCGCTTTTGCTTCCCTCCCTAAGCATACAAAAAGAGGTACATGACTATATTACAAATCATTCATCTACTTTTTGCCTTTCTTCTTGTTAGGAACGACCTTGAACCCAGCAGTCGGCTCCTCAACCTTTGGCGGCCCCTTCTTCGCAACCTCACTCCATCCACCACTGGACTGTGCACCCGCAGTAGAGAAGCTGGTCCCGGACCCAGTGTTGCTAGGCTCAATAACCCCCTTCTCAGCAAGCTTACGACGTCGGAGGAACTCCTCTGCAAATCGCCTACCATCCATGAGTTGAGAACTACCATATACCGCATCAGCAATGATGGAAGGCTCTGCTGGGCAATCCAAAAGCATGCTAACGAAACTATCAACTATCGAAATGTCAGCATGTATCAAACTTGAAGAATAAAGTTTATAATTACCATCAATACCAGAGTTCAGTCCCTTGACAAGAGAGCCTTTAGCCCACTTGGTGAACTCTTCATTAGCTGAAGTAGTACCGGTTGTAGCGCTTGCTGTGACGCTACGAGTGTTGGTAGCTGGACGTACGACACGAGAAGTAGATGTGGTGGCAGTAGTGCTGCTGCTAACAGCGCGAGTTGGGACAGATGGAGTGCTAACAGCTGGACCAGTAGGAACCTTGACTTTTCCACTAGCACCGACTGTGGACCAAGCAGAACCTGATTGAGGCATAGCTGGCGTGGCCTTGCTAGCAAGATCAGCATAGCGTTTTCCGCCAGCAGCAACAGCAACAGGCTGTGCAGCGGCAGCGGCGGCAGCCAACTTGTTCTTGCGCTTCTCTTCCTCACGTTGAATATCAGCCAGAGTCTTCTTTGAAGCCGTGGAGTTGGCAGGAGCTTGAGCCTTCACAGATGGCTTTGCCCAGGCAGATGGAGTGCTACTAGTGACAGGCGAAGCACCCCAAGTTGACGATGTTGGAAGTCCTGGAGCTGGAGCGGCTGGTTGTGCAGTAAGAAGTTTCATTTCTTGATCAAGAAGAACCCGACGAGCGGCGGCAGCAGCTTCCTCAGCCTTGGCAGCCTTCTTTGCCTCCATCTCTTGGATTTCCTTCAACGAAGGCTGTTTTTGGGCTTCAACAGGCTCCTTAGCCCAAGGGGCAAGAGAGGGTGCCGCGCTTGTAATCTCTGGTGTTTCGGATCGAGATCTGGACTCGATGTTCAACCCCTCGGGGAGGGCAGATCGACCACGTTGAGCCATTGGTGCGGGAAGTGGAGTGGTAGACTGAGGTGGTGGTGGAAATGGCATTGGGAGACTTGTGTTGACCTTGGCCCATGGTGATTCAGGTTGGATGGCAGTGGGTGAGTGTTTTGCAGATGCTGCTTTCTGGATGTGTTGAGTCAAGGAAAGCAATTCAGGTTCGGCCGGCTCAGGTGCTGCCTCTTCCTCCTCCACAGGGAGGACTTCTTGATACGTAGACTGCTGTGGAGGAGCAATGGGTTCATTCGAGGCAGCAGCAGCTTGAGCGGCCTCCTCTGCGTCATGTTCCTCTCTCAATTGCTCAAATTCACGTAATCGAGCCTTAAATCCTTGGGGGTCATTTTGACGTGATTGTTCCTTGCTAGTATCACGTTGGGATTCGACTGGTGGCTGACCAAATATAGCAGCAATCTGTTGTGCATGAGTTGAGGTCTGAGGCCCTGAGGCTACAGCGTTGAAGAGTTGACGGCCTTCGAGACTAAGTCGAGAAAGGTCTGCCTCTTGAAAATAATCGACCGGAGCTCCAGTTTGTCCTTGGACTTGACGACCTTGATCAAAAAAACCCGCGACACCAGGAAGAGGGGGCTGTGGAGGCATTCCAATAGGAGAAGTAATACTTCCAAAACTTGGCTGACTCTGAAGGCTGTGTGCGCTGGAGTGATGGTGCAAAGCAGATGGAAGTCCGCCCATCTGCATTTGCTTCATGTTGACCTGTTGTTGAGCCAAGAACTCTCTTTGACGAGCCATGAGATACTGCTCCTCTTGCTTGCGACGCTCAAGGTTGTTTTGCTGTTCGGCGGTCAAGGTGGTTCCAAAGCTTGGAAACGCACCAGCAAATGGAGGTTGAACAGATCCAGCTTGTGGTACATTGTTCCCCGGGGCAGTTGCCGCTGGAGTGGCAAAAGTACCAGCCTGAGTGCTAGGTGTGCCGTGAGGAATACCAATTTGGGGGACGAGGAAAGGTTCGCGAGAGTTACCAATTCTACGAATCAGCTGGCCGAGTGGCTCGAATTCTGGGTCCTCAACTTTCTTGACAGAAAGATCTGCCGTAAAGAAAGATGCCTTGTACCAGTCATGCATTTCAAGACCCGACCAAGGACCCTGGACTTGACCTTGAGGATCGAGGTATACCCATCGCATTCTATCTGGCATAACCATCATGCGTTGCTGTGCAGTGGGAAGTTGGTTTGACGCAGAGTCAGAGGAAGCTTGCGATTGTTGATAACCTGACTGAGCCGACGGAGTCTGAGCGAAAGCTGTGACGTTCTGACCTTGCATGATCTCTGAGGTTGAAAATATACCCTGACTTCTAGAGAGATCCGACGAAGGGAACATGTCTTCAAAAGGATGACGCCCAGATCGCAAAGGACTATCAGTATCGCGAGAAGGTGGGAAAGCGTTGCGACCAATGGCACCAAAGGCAGTATTTTGTCGTCCTTCCCCTTCATTGGAGTTGTCATTCTCATTGGATTGCATCTGAGCTTGCATTGCTGCAGGAAACAAAGATCCGAGTTTGCTGCCGCGGCCGGTAGTGCTACTTGCTGAAATATTTCCTGAGCCAAACATATTCCCAAGCCCGCCAATGCCAGGTGATGGCACATCACCCATTCCCCCAAAGAGAGAACTACCAAAAGGCCCGGGAAAGCCTGGCCGATTCTCGCGGTCTGGAGTTCCAATGGGGTTTGCACTTGTTGGCCAACCACCCATGCCACCCAATCCGCCCAAAGAACCCATTCCTGCAATTGGAGGAAATCCCTTAGAACCAGCTACACTGGAAGTTTGACTACGATCGCTGCCGTCGAACGCAGTATTTGGAAACCCACGAGGGAGGCCACCAAATGCGTTGAGTCCATGCTCAGGAATTCCTCCCAATCCATGCATTCTACCTTGCTGATGAGAGTCCTGTTCGTAATTCCCCTCGCCCGGATCCTGCCTATCCTCGAGTGGGCTTCGATACGGATTTGTCTCGGACGGGCTAAGTGAGTCATGTTCATCTCTGCGACCTTGTGGGGTTTGATGGGCACGTTGGACATCGCGAAAGCCTTGCATGCCAGACATTCCAAAGTCACCAGAATCGCCTCGAACAGGAGTGTCTATTCCCGCAGGTCGTCGACTTGGTGGGCTGGCGTCTTGGCCCCCGAGCGCAGCACTTCCGGCTGGTGGTTCATCTCCAAATGGATCAGTATCTGTACGTTGTCTTCCAGTGGGTCTCCAGGATGGTTGCTCAGTCTTGGACATCAAGTCCTCCGAACTTTCCTTTGGCATTAGATGAGCAAGACGGCTTTCCCCTCTATTCCCAAATGCAGGTCTCTTCTCGCTTGGAGTTGGAGGATTGGCGACCCCTCCACCACCCAATGCAAAACTCCCAAAGTTGCCCATGGGTGACATAGTCGCGCTAGCAGATGGAGGACCCCAGGGTGACGCAGGCCCATTACCAAGGGCATTTCCAGTGTTGGCACGCTGCAAACTACCAAATGGCAAGCTGGGCTTTAAATCTTCTGGTCGGTCCTCATTCGCATCCTTGTCTGGATTGAATTTGGGTCTCTGAAAGAAAGGAGAGTCTTCCCTAGAAAATCGACCTGTTCCAGCTGGTGAAGGGAGCCCACCAATTCCTTCACTAGTTTGTTGACGACGGGTGCTTGGTCTGCTAGATACTGGCGAGGAAAGGCCATATGCACCTGGACCTTGTCCGTGTGAGACAGAAACCTTTCGTCCATTAGAAGCTTGACCAGTCGCATCCTTGTTTAAGTTTTGGGGTGGTGGCTTCAAAGGTGAATTGACATCGCCAGAAAAAAGCTTTTGTGGGTTTAGCAGAGGTCTATCTAATAAATGGGGTTCACCTACGACTTTCTCCTGTTCTGACATCTCCTCTAAACCTACGGGACGAATGAGGCCATTTGTATCCCAGCAAGCTTCAGGGCCATAGGAATCTCTACCATCACCACTCTTGCCCCAACCAGTGCGTCCATTTGTTCCATTAGATTGTTCAGGATTCCAATTATTTACAAAAAGGCGTGAAACATCGCTCTGTAACCCGCCTGATTCCTCTTGCGCTCTGTAAATATCCAGAAGTTGGTTCTTGGAATAGCGGGTATCTGTTGAGTGCTCATATTGAGAAGGTTGCATGTCAGCGGTTGGTGTAGCCAGAGGGGCTTCTCCTTGAGACGACGCTGGCGCAAACGGGGTGGTTGAGGGACGTCGGAGTGTGAGAGTGCCGTTTGTAGCTCGAGAATCTCTTCGTGCCCTAGAAAGTGAGCGCAGGTTAGCGTGAGAAGGAGAAATGGCGATTGACTGATGAATTCTTGAGCAGTTTCGATTTTGACAACATGATGCCTTGACGACCCCTGTTGCTTCACAAAATGCCCGGGGGATAAAATTAAATATTTTTTTCAGCGAGATAACGAATAGAAGTGAATGACGGCGGGTAGCAACTGTGGGCAGGTGTGGGTGGTAGAGCAGGTTAGGAGCTCGAGAGGCAAACGTCAACGTACCAGTCCCCGCTTCCTCCTCGTCCATCGCCCCTCCCGCTTCGAGAATCGCGACTAGAAGCTTGGCCTGCGGCTGCAGAGGCAAAGCTTGATGGCATATGGGAAGGCATTGTTGATAGGTAAGCGTCTGGAGATCAGCAATAGATGATGAGCAGACAGGTGCAATCGAGAGTCGGCGCGTCGTGAGTATGGTGGACGACGCGAAGAGGCCTCGGTCTTTAGTTACGAGGTGCGGTGCGGGGAGAATTGTGGGAGATCTAATTGAGCTCCGAATAGTCGGTGGTTTTTGGTGGAGTGGTGTGCAGGTAGTGCGCAGGCGCAGGTTTGGGTGGGATCGAAGGTGGTATTGCAGGTGGTGCTTCGTGATATCGATATCTTTTTTACGAATGGAAGTGGAAGTATTTTGTGAAGAGGTTCTTCCGTCCAGCCTACTTCCGCTTAGCGCGTGGGTCGGCTCGTGGGCCAATCAGCGCATCTAGGCGAGGTTGGTGTGCTTGGCCTCAAGCTTCCACGAAGCTTCGGTGTCGGTGCTCCGCAATGAGCATCGTCATATCCCAAGGAACCGTAACCGTAGCGTGCGTGTACTCACCAAGGAAAGCATCCAGTACGCAGTATTCACCCTTAGAGTAACCGCTGTCTTGCTCGCCTGCTCTCTCTCGCTACCTGCCTCTTGCCATACCTACTGCCACTGTGTATATCTCAACCCGGATCGTCCCTATTACCCCTGAGTCTCCCCTCAGATGGCCAAATCTGGCCTCTGAAGCTCGATCAGGGGGTCTCAAATATCCCGGACAATAGCCATCGGTGGGTATACCCCAACCATACGAGTATGAGTCTTTTGGGCTTGTGCTGTGTGCAATGGTGGCTGTCCTTTCCCCTTTCTTGCACATTGAAGGTACACACTGGTTAGTCATGTTGAGGCTGTCACACGGCCGATGACAAGAGGAGAGACAGCAGTTGAAGTGTAACCCGAGATCAATTTATACAGCTAGTACGATTGCACGTGGCTGTTCCTTCTAGAACTCTCCATATCAGTTTCTGATAGTCTTCTAGAAGTCGCTAATATGGAGGGTATGTTGGTGCTGTTTACCATTCACCGTTATACGACAAGCTGGAAAATTTCTCGGATGTATACCCCATTTTCTGTGTGAATCGAATTGGACTCTCTTTGTACTCGAGTACCTTCGAGTCGCTTCCCGTTCAATATCCTTTCCAGTGTTAGATCTCAACCCTTCCATTCTCCCGAGCACTCTGCTCCGCTCTCGGCCTGCCCGTACATAGCTATACAAACACCATGCGACTATGGTGTGTTATGAAGCGGTGTGTTGTTCTACACCACACACGCCACCAAAGTCTTGTGTAGCGTAGTAATCCAGTCTATCTGTTTGTCCATTTCCCCATCGCTCTTCAAACCGACCCCTCACAAATATATGCCTCGACCCCGCTGACAGCTTTCTCTGGCTAAGCTCTAAACACGACATACCGTGTTTCCCAAATGTCGGTCTGTAATTGGCCTATGGATCTGTCTGATGGCTCTTGTAACACTTTTCGAAGCAAACTCCTGGAAGATCTTCCCTTTGTTTAGACACCTTTCTTGTCTTGAAGTACAAGATTTGGTCACAAACCCACTTCCCGTTCTTCTCGGTCTCTTTCTTGTTTGCGTATTTTTCCTTCCTTCCAGGGATTTGATGGGATACTTATTTAGATGATTCCCATGTGTTTTAAGCAAGTGCCTCCTTGTTTTGCGAGGTGGAACTGTTGTCTCATTGTCCTCTTCCTTTGAATACTCGGGAGGTCCCTCCACTCCCACTGAATCATTCTTGAATAACATTTCCGCAACTCAAAAACCATGGGAAGAGAACACAACTGTCTAGGCGGTAGATGCCATTCCCGCAGCGGTCTCGGAAGTGACAGCCGTGGCTCCGAACTTCAAGGAGAAAGCTCCTTCAACCGAGGAAACCGATTCAGAAACGGCGAAGATAGAGCCATGCTCTACCCACGACCCGGTGCTACCCGCGATATTGTGGACAGTCTATTGAGTCAAGCATACAACGGCGGTATGTACGGGAGAAACAACTATGCTGGCATGTCAAGACTAGGCGACATGGGAGGAATAGGACAGGGAGATTTTGGAGGCCTTCGAGGTGGTGGTGGTCTAGGAGGTATGGGAGGCATGACAGGACTAGGACACGACGACCTAATATACACTCCCCTAGACCGACGAGCAGAATACCCTCCAGGCCTCCGCTCCCCCATAGCCATGGACTCACCAATGCACCATCCCCATACTCTCTACCAACCCGAGCGTTTGGGACTCGGTAATCTAGGTACACCCCGCGGGTCCCCCTTTGGCAGACAGCCCATGATGTCAGGTGCACTTCCGGGACTCGGTCACGCACCACCCAGATCCCGTCTCCATTCTTCGAGTGTGAGCTCTGGCTTCGATCCGTATCGTATGGATCGTCAGCGCATGCCTTACGGACCTGAGGCGGGGAGACGAGCGACCATGGGCATGGGGATGGGAAATTATCGACCGCCGTATGTGGAGGATTATGAGAGTGAGATGGCGGAGGCAGAGATGGCTGGGCAGGCTATGTATGGGGGTGGAGAGGGGTATTTTGTTTATGGGGATGGACATGGACATCCACATCCAGGCGGCATGGGAATGGGGGGCATGGGTGGGAGGATGTTGTAGGGGTTTTCAGGGTAGTGGTGTTGGTGTTGGTGTTGGGCGGTGTTTGGGGTTATGAGATGGGTGGTATTGTATGATGGATTTGTATGTTGCTCTCATCCTTGGTTCCTTAATAAGACTGACATAATTTGCTCAGAACATCTGGATCTCAGCTCTTGTAAGGCCAAGTGAATAAAATATTGTTCTCATAGCCTTTACCGAGAACTCACTTTGTTGCGAAAAGTTATCAATTTCCTTTTTCAACTTCCGCCTGTCAGTCTTTAAGGGCAGTAATGATACTCTTACAACCGACATAATACTACAATACTTCCGCCATTCCCCTATCTCCTATATCCAAACTTCAGAACCCACCTACCCACTCAGTTCTCTGGTATCTATCCCAATCCACAAGATCCCAAACCACCTCACCACCTCCCTCTAACACGAACTTCAAAACCAACAGCCCAAATACTCTATACCCATCTTCTCCCCTCCCCTCATCCCCCTCCCTCCATTATCCCCATCCATCACACCTATATAACCCCCCTCCCCCCCTCACTTTTTCAGAAAGACGCACCACCGCTCAGAAAACAATGTCGCTTCAAAATAGAGAAGACCATATCCTAAACCGTAGAACAAAATCCTCTCCTGCCCCTTTCTTCTTAGTCTTACATATTCCTCGATTTCTTTTTCCTTGATGGTATATTGGTGGAGAAGACGTCGCTTTTGAGTGGAGATGAGGGGTTATGGAGTTTCGACAGTGAGAGGGGATTCGGGGGTAGAGGTTGGTTGATATGTCATGTTGTTAATTTAAGGTGACTTGAAGGAGGGGCGGGTGAGGGGATGAAATGCATTCGATGTTTGCGTGGGCCTCCAGGGTTGTACTGCCGGGTCTTACTTGAGTGTGGACGGGTCTTGGGACAGCGAAGTTACATAATTAGCCTGGGTTGGATTTTGGGTTGCTGGGAGGTATTTTGGGTGGGGTGTGGTGTTATGTAGAAATACTTTTGGGTTTGAAGTTGGGATATGGAGTGTGGATGGTGGTTTCTTTGATTTAGTTTTACAGAATATCTATCTACTATCTAAATAGAACATAATTAAACCTGGTAAAGTACCAGACAACTTGGAAACCTAACCACCAGTCACCAGTCACCTCACCATATCCAAAGAATCACACCTAGCCACTGTGGACAAAACTGCGACCATTGGTGCTATGGAGTATTCAAGCTCTCACAAGGCCAAGCTACTGTATGTAGTCTTTGAAGTAGAGATCGTTACCTCGTTCCAGTCTACTCGTTGGCGAAGCCAAACAGAAACCACCCTATTCGCCTGTTGGAGCATTCCTTACGACAGTTGTCGAAGTTCTACTGTTCTTACGCGGATCCCGGATTTTGAGAGGTTTATAAAGATAATGTTGTAGTGGTCTTTGGTAGTAAAGACCAGTGAGCGAGCGCGATAAGAATTTGCTTTGTTATCCGTTTCTGTATTCTTTTCTGCTGCGTACTCATGCTTGGTTTCAAGTATGCCACTACTACTACTACTACTACTACTACTACTACTACTACTACTACTACTACTACTCTTACCCCACGTCACGCTCACTCTCTCACCCCCGAAAGTTCGAGCCGCCATACTGTTCGTAGTTCCAAGAAGTATATATATCGCAGCACCTCGTGGATTCTTGAGTCTGTAGGAAAAGAGGAGTAAGCCTTACATCATATGCGTATCATGGAGAAGAGCTTTTCTCCAAACAGCGTACTCCACTCAAGGCTATTGACTATACTGTTCTCTGTGAGAACTTATTCTTTTCTTATCGCCGGGAGTGATTTCTGTACGTAAGGATTTGTAAAAAATTCAACTTACTGATTCGAAGGTGAAATGTTTTTCGACAGCAAAAAATTCCTATTATGGGTTTACCTCTTACATGTGGATCGCTTGCCGAACTTACTGAGTATGTTTTATCAATTGAAACTTGTGGTTGGAACTCTTGATGGTATACTCTCAGCAGGAAAATAATTGAACCAAGTTCCTTCGGTTCTCCAATCGAACTTCGCTAATACCTTAATTTGATCCGATGGTGTGGTGATTGGGCTGCTATGGTCACAGTTTTAAATACTTTTGTGAGTTCTGCGTGCGTCAGTCGAAAAACTTCTCAGAGGTCTAGGGTTGACTTAGATAATGGGTTGCAAACGGAAGAGGAAATAAGGAAAAGACACCCGGATTTTAGAGATACCGTCTACTCAATTCAATGTTCGAATTGAGTTGAATAGAGTAGATAAGTAGTCAAATAAAGTACTCTACTCTACTCAACCTGACCACCTACTCCTATTCCTACTCTACTCACCTTAAGTAACTCAAGTACCACCAAATCAGAGGAGCATTTTGTTCAAGCGCTGGCTCAGTGAAACGAAGTGCTTATTGTGGAAGCAAGTAATCTGGGCATAGTCTCAAATCGAAGACATGCTTTGGCTTTCTTGTATTACTATTGCGAAACCATCCTCGAAGTGTCGATCTCTTTCCAGGGACAACCATCTATCAAAGCCCCTTACAAAAACAAGATATAATTTCTCTGATATATTACCACTGCACACAAGCATACACTGCCTAAATTCGTGTTCATATCCGATCAAGCAAAGCCACAATTCTTGTACAAGCAACAGAGTACAGCTGCCTTCTCTATCCCTTGCTAAGCAGATTGTCCAGCACAATCTCACTTCTACAGCCCCAAATATACCGCAAGTACCTCGAATCAAGATCAGTTGATACTCACCCAATATGGAAGACAAACAAAAGAAGCCCACCATCACAGTCATCGACACCGTCTACCTCCGCAATCTCATGCCAGGTAACCAAGAATGCGTCTACTTTCTCTACAGTTCTCGCTTCTCCGGCGCCATGAAAGAAGCTGCCATATCCACCAATGCAACCATTCTATACGATATCACGAACGACCAAGCCGTCGAAGAACTCAGTCGACTTCTGGCTCTCAACATTCATTTCCATGACGATGATGGAAGAATTCTCAGTCCTACACCACTTATGGATACGATGTGGCATGCGCTTATCCTGGATACGCGACTTCATCTGGAGTTCCAAGCTACTTTGCCATTTTATGTTCATCATCGGCCTTTGGGAGTGACTGATGGGGAACGGTTGACTCGTTTGGGTAGATTGAGTTTACATTGTAGGGAGATTTTTGGTACTGATCCCTTTATGCTAAGGACGCTCTGATCAAAGAGGCGGAGGAAAAGGGAGGGAAACCAGGCAGGCTTTTATGAATCTCCAATGAAAAAAACCAAAGCGGCGGATACATATCTGGAGACACAACTAAAAGTGGAAGACGAAGAATTAGAGGATGAAGAATCGGAGAGACAACAGGCAGACGACGAGGAGTATTCAAAAGCGATGACCAAAGAGGCAGAGGAAGAAGTAGAGAGACAACCTGAAGTAGGGAATGAAGAATTGAGGAAGAAAGCGACACAGAATGCAGAATCTCCGAAAGAAATAACGGTAAAGATAATCATCCCACAACGGTATCCACAACAGGACACGATCAAAGCCAGAATGCATATGAGAGATACCACCAAGTTCTGGCGTCTTATTAGCGGGATAAAGTCTAAGGTTCGTCCCCAACCACCAGGTCCGTATTATACTAGTGATTTCAGATTGTTTTTTGAGGGAAGCGGCTTTTGGGAGAGGACACCCCCAGGCAAATTGGTATGGAAGATGGGGATTGTATATATCTTTATTTTGAGATGATAGGATGCTAGAGGGTTTTAGTGCACTTTTATTCAGACTGCTATGCACTTTTATCATACTGTCGTTACGAAAGTTCTCTTCTCCAGATTTGCTCTACATGTCATGAAATCATCCATGGACACGCTTTGAAATGTGTTGACGTTTTGTTATTCCTTTGCACCTTAAAGGCCCTGGCAGTAAGCCAAACTTGCGTTCAAATCTCGTTTTGTCATTTTTCATGACCTCCATTCTTTCCGTAAAACTGATGAGCATGCCCAAACCAGGGCACTGAGTAGTGTCAAGTCAATTCACCTTCCCCCCGTCGCGTAACTGTGGGTCAAAACCCCTGACTACCAGCCTCCCATTGGTGCGGCCCCCCCTCGGCCACCACCCGACCAATCACAGGCCTCCAAAAAGCCCACCAGGCATTCCTATATCCAAGTAACAAGAAAGCCAGCATCAATCAACAAGTCTCTTGCCCAGCTGGTGCGATGGTGGCATCGACCACAAGCTGGAGTCAACTCAGGAAGTGCTCGCAGACTTGTATCCTAGGCCTACACGGTGTTGTAGGGGTCAGCTCAGGGAGCCCGGGAATGATTGAGGTGGATTGGGAGAAAGCTGCGGCATTTAGAGGGACAACTGCTGTCCCTCGACAATGTCATAAACCCCTTGGGGTTTTTCCTGAGCCTCCGTTGGGGGGCCACAAGGTTTTGCTGTTTTTTTGGTTGACTTTTTGGCCTTTTTTTGCTAAGCGAGGGAGTTGTGGCGCTTGTTTTGCTGCCTGATTTGGAGGGCTGTGGTGTGCGCGTGACCGCGATGGGGTCACAAACTTGGGTATAAAGGTGCGAGAAGAATGATCCTTCTCCCAGAACCTTCGCAAGCCTAATCGGGTTTGCAGCATACAGTAGCAACTAATATACAACCAGAGCTTTGAACTATGCAGCCAGCATGTTCAGAGATGCGCTCACATTCACCGGATTTGCGACACATACATACTATAGGGAAGAAGGTATCTCATGCAATTGTCATAAGAACATTCCAGAAAGTAACAGCAACCATAGAATTACATGAGCCGTTCCGTCTCTTCTCCTCAATTTCCAAGAAGGCAGACTTTGGATACTATGTAGAGATGAAGAGATCTATATCAAAAACCACGTACGCATGCTCGCTCAACGAGTCTTCCCAAGGCTTAAGTCGTAACCAACATCTTACTGAACACTTTGGATTGAGGATGGATAAAAGGTTGGGCGCAGGCAAAAACTTTTCATCAGTGTTGCTGCAGTCATGTCATGTCCGGTCTTCCAACAATTCAGCAGTTTCAGGAATGGACTATGCATATTGCAGCCTTTGATGGAGAAGCCCGCTACGATCAACCAACGAGGAGTAGAGAACGTCAGGCTATATGCGATTAGTCGGTGGCAGAAGCTAGAAATTGTCTTTCTCTAAGAATGCAATGATGGATTTCGACAGCGGAGCGAAAATCGACAGTGGAAGAAAAGTCTCTTGTGACTTTGAGGAGATGGATGTGTCGAATGCCTAGCTGTAGTACTCTCTGGAATGAGTGGAGATCCTCTGCGAAGGGAGGCGACCGATGGATTGCTCGTTCTGAAATGCGATCGTATTATGGAACCCATCGCATCAAAAGACTCTGCCGTAGTATAGTTGATACCAAATAGGAAACCCCCTGAGATTGTTGCCTTCATACTCTAGTATCAGTCTCCTTAGGCTAGCCTTCGTAGTCAATCTAAAGGGATACCTTCGCTGAGTCTACAATAGTGCCGTAGGTTCCTATCCCTTCTCTTGAATTTACTAATACTACATGGATTCTAGGATTCTAATTCGATAGCTCAAAAGTTGAGTCAGTTCAGAGACAAGATATAAATACCTTACCAACGAGATGAAGTGGAATTAATATCAACAGACTTCTTGTTTCGCATAGAAGTGCAAGATCGAGGAATATACGTATCCTGGTGACGTACACTACGAGCTCAGTGAAAGCTCACAATCCATAACTCCTCAAATCCACAGAACGAGACGTTCTAGGCCGCTGCCTGATTTCCTCGCGCTCTCTGGCCAATTCTTCTTCTCTTGCTTTCCCCCATAGATAATACTCTAGATGCGGAGTTAGCAAGCCAGGAGCAACCATGAGAGCGAATGATCGACAGGTAAGGTTACCTCGTCCGCCTTTCACACATTACCAAATATTAACACTTAACATGACAACTGCGAGGATCTGACCGAATCCTTGTTTGTTTTCAGCGGCGCCTTCTTCCGATAGAGCCTGGTTTGAAACACGTATTGCTACGAGAAAGTAGAGATGCACGATGAACTACACAATGATGATAATAAGAGCAGAAAGTCTCTCCTCAAGATCTTCCCAAGTTGCTATGAGGATTCCTACTCTGCGGTTTCCGGTACTAGAAAATGATATACTCGTAAACACGCTTGGGTATATAGACTGTTCGAACGCGCCGTAGAGATAGGCATATGTCAAAGAGATATATATATGATCATGCCGAGGGTAGGAAGCATGGGGAACTGCGATGAAGGAAGTGTTGTAGCAGCGGCCAGCGATACCATCGTCCCATTCATTTAGGGTTATACCAAAGCAGATGGTAAAAGCGAGATAGAGAACAAGGAAGATGGCAATGAGGGTGAATCGAGGAGCCCGGTTTGGTACTCTGGCGTCGATGAGCATACCGAAGACAGCGCAATGCGATATGCTGTGTGACAGACATTAATATTTTTCTCCATCACCAAAAACACCCCAAGCTCAAAGCAGATAGAATCAATTACCTGGTAAAGCTTGTTACGTCGAAGATTATATGGAAATGATATAAGCTCAGAGTTTTCACTTGGATGAGCCCGCTGAGTCACAATGCAATGGCTAAATGACTTTGTTAGCTGCCTCATGGAAAGTCATATTTGAGCAGTCCTCACCTGTAATTGACTGTGTGTCACTACCAGAGAGGAGAATATCTCTGACGATGGATCGCTGCTTCTCGTGTCTTTCTGTGGCTTCCAGGTCGTGCGATTGATTCCGCGAGCTTAAATTATCTTCGAAGCGATCGCTATACGGGCCGGGGTAAAGCAACTTGGAGTATTTCGAATAGCTTGCTAATGCGAGGGCAATAAAAGCTTGTATTCCAAACGCAAGAAGAATCTGAGTTCTGTTAGTTCCCAGATACGAGAGCATGGACAAGCAGCTTGAGTCTCCAAATCTTGTGTATCCGCGTTCACTTACAATTTCAACGCGAGCTTGTCCATCATTTCAATAGCATTTTCTTCATGCCTCCTCTCAAAAATCCCAGAAAATATCTATGGTAAATAAACACAACACCCCAAGACCAAACCTCATTAAAAAGATCAGACAAACTCTCACATCATACATAATCTTCCCCAACACTCAAAAATCGAGCCTGAATCTCAAAACTCACAACATCCTACAACTATAAAAATCCCCTCTAGGCGCAAGGTTTCCTAGTCTCATCTCGGGAATACTTACAGCGTTTAGTCAGAAGGCTTGTCCTGTTCCTTTTCTATTGGAGATCGTGCGGAAGGGGGACATAGGTACTGTACATGGCCATATTCTAGAAGTTTCGGTTGGATGTTCCATTTAGGCTGTGAGAGAAAGAGTAGTAGAGAATGCAAATGATTAGATCGACAGTAAAGAGAGATTTGACGGCAAGAGAGATGGGATTTGAGAGGGTTGGGTTATGTATCTATGGTAGGAAGGGATTCGAAGTCGCTTACGGCTTCTAGCATACAATCTATGCTGGAGCATTCCAACATATGTGTTGAATGTATGCGGACCCAGCGGGATAAGAGGATGGCGTAACAGAGATTCGTAGATGAGACCTGCGATACCCATGCCGAACCCATGCTACTAGTATGTGTGTTGTTCATGTTTGATTACAAGTTATTAGTTTAGATTGTTGTTCGAAAGACGAGCATAACTCGGTGCTGGAGGCATTGAAAGCCAGTTCAACCTGGATTTCAAGTTGCCACTAACTATATCTTGAGGTAAGAGCTTTTTATCTGTATTTCCTGTAGATTAAACAAGAGCTATCACTAATTATCTTCTAGATAAATAACCATTCTTCCCAAGAGTCACAGAGAACTCGCCTTTATTTATTCAGCGTTTAAGTTTCGAAATATTTAGGTTAAGTAGTACTGTAGTAGCACCTACTCAACTTAACTCGAGTAGTAAAAATGGCTACTCAACTTAAGAAAGCCACTTACTTCTCAAGTATACTTACTTAGTTGAGTAGTTTTGTCCAAACGCTGCCTATGAACCGGCGGATTTTACTACAAATAGTTCTTAACCTCTCCATACACTTGTCTCCCCACATTATCCCATATCGGGGACTACTTCGCGTTCACATGTGCTCTGTGCGTTCCTGGTTATCTCCTGTTGTTGAAAGTGTTCGAAAGGAGGCTGGCGGGTGAGTAGACATGATTGTATTCCGTAATCGATTCTTACCAAGGTTGTGGTTTCGAGGTCTGTGGTGAACGGAAGTTGTTGGATCGACAGTGAAAAAAGATTCGACAGCAAGAACAAGGAACTTGTTCCAGGGGAGGTTATGCATATATTTACCTTATGGACTATGCGGTGAGTGTTAATCTTCTTCAGTTGGGCAAGCTCCAAAGAGCTTGCACACTAATTTCGCTCCTTTCGCAACCACCATTCCAGAATGCAGTAGACTGGGAAATCTTTCTGTGCCTATTCAGATACCTTCCCAGCCCGGAATCTTTTCCGCTAATAAAGTGCTCTTTGGGCAGATGCCTGCCAATAAGGGCACCGAGAAGGTTCCGATTGGGTCAGACATGGGAATGATATCGGATACCCTTCGAGTGCAATAGATATTCTTTTACTACACGCTCCTAGAGGCAATTGTCTTGCTAATCAAAATTGGAATTGGGAGGAGGCAAGTCATGTGATTTAAACGTAATCGAACGTATAAAAATAACCTTGATCTGCGGGCGATATCAAACTCCACAGCTGCAAGGCACCAAGACATGATTCGTAATTGCAAGAGAAAGTTCTTAAGAAGCCTCACTATCGCTGCTGAAAAGTAGTGGACGGCTTCGAGAAGGGTTTGGAAGTTCCTGCCAAGATGACGGAAGTTGAGCCACGATGTGAAGGTTTCTGGCAGGCACAGCCCTACTGGTACTCCACGGGTTCACGGAACAACTCCACCTTCCTTCACCATCACCTGCATCCACGCACCACGGAGCGGCGCAGTCCCAGCATCGGATGAATGTCCGTCGGTGCTCCCGAATTGCCCGCTATTGCCATGCGAGAACCCCATCGGAGCGAATACGTCAGATGCTCGCTCAGCCTCACTGCAAGCGCACCCTTCCCAGCAGTCAGTCACTGTTACGGTGCCTCCCGAGTCTTCCCCGGATATTGGACCCTTTTGCTGTGCGGCATTCTGCATGCTGAGACCCCGAAGAGGGCAATGGCAGGAGCCAGCAATGTACAGCAGTTGGAGAAACGAGGCCGGGCGGTAAGCCAGAAGCAAGTGCTTGCCAGCTTGCCAGGCAGCTGGAGCGTCGCCCGGCAATAGTAACTCGTTCGGGTGACGAAGGATTGTTTGCAGAGACAATCATCAGTGATCAGATTTAAGGATCTGACCACATCTGCGAGGATGATGCCCAATACACGAACAAACCATTCCATTCACAGACTCTACTGGTCGACTGTGATCAGTCATCAAAGAGAGTAACCAACGTCAGCCAACCGATTTTGCCTTTTCCTCAGCCCCTCCAGCCCCTCCAAACCTCACCCCGGCTTTGAGTGCCCCGCTATTCATTGCTGCTCCTCGAATATCCCATTCACTTCGGGCCTTATTGGATTGGGTAACACGTGTGGCGTAGCGACCGCCCTCGTATATAAGACTACCCCTCCTTCCTTTGTGCTGCTCCCATATCATACTTACATACAACCTCAAGTCGCAGATCAACTTCTTCGACTACAACACACAAAACACACTCGATCAACATGTCAGCACAAGACTTTTACAACGGCGGAGGAGGTCACCAACAAGGTGGCTATCCTCAACAACAGCACGGCTACGGCCAACAGCAACCGCAATATCCGGGTCAGCCAAACTACGCTCAGCAACAAGGTGGTTATCCAGCTCAGCCAAATTACTCCTCTCCTTCCCCTCAACATCAGGGCAACTATCCCACACCTCAACACCAAGGCGGATACCCCGGACAATCTACCTACCCCTCCCAGCCAAACTACGGCGGTCCTTCACCCTCCCATAGCCCGGTGCCCTACGGCCAACACAACGCTCCTTACCCAGGAGGACCCAGCCAACCTCAGTATGGCGATAACCGTCAACCCGGCCAACCAGGTTATGACGCAAACGCACAAATGGGACCGGATGGCGAGAAGGGTTTAGGATCAACACTGATCGGTGGCGGAGCAGGCGCATTCTTGGGACATAAAGCCGGTGGAGGAGCGCTTGGAACGGTCATCGGGACGGTTGTTGGTGCTATTGGCGCAAATGCGTTGAGTGACAAACACAAGAAGCACAAGAAGAAGTCGGGGGAGTATCAACATGGGAGTAGTTCATATGGTGGAAGCAGTTTTGGCGGTTCGAGTGCGGCGCTGGGTGGTCTTTATCCCGGGATGAAGAAGCATAAGAAGGAGAAGAAACATCACCGTTCGAAGTCTAGAGGTGGTGGAAGTTCGTCATCTTCTTCGGATAGCGATTAAGGGTCGGCGAGGAACTTCTGAACTACTGATACCTTTGTATTTTTGAACGTGTTTTCCTTGGTCTGGATCTGCGTTTCATTTGGTTGGGATAAGGTTATTCTTTGATTGATGGATTTGCATGGATGCTTTGCGAATGGTCCGGTTGGGATAGCATCTTTCTTGGTTTGAGGAATTTTATTAATCGTTCACTTTGTGGGCGCGATACTCGGGGCAGTAATACGTGAGTCTGGGCCACTATTTTAGTTAGTTTCAGAGCCTCAACCACACCAAAATTAAGTGATTTCAGGTGCCACATATCCTTTTCTTTTTATAACTATTCAACAATTAGTACTCTAAATGCCTCGAAAACACCGAAATACGAACGAGCGGAAGCCTCGCATGAATAAGACTAGCCGAAAAGAGACCCCTATTGCTCAGCGTACTGCGATTATTAGTAGAATCGATACTAATACGCCAGCAGAGGAAGCTAGGATTTGGGCCGCCATTGAGCCTCCTTTTGTACGAATATCGGAGGATGGGATAAGAAAAATGAGGAAGCGCGTAAGAGAGAGGGCTGCACGTACAAGGGGGGGGGGNGGGTGCTTTCAATTCCACAAAATGTCGCGAATCAGCCTCGATCGCATCGAGCGGTTAAACTTACTCGCGCGCTACGCAAACGGATTGTTGCACATGTTACTCAGGACCAGGACAGCTGGCGGAAGTCGAATATCATGATTCTAGGTGAATTGGGCTTGTGGGGTAATGCGAATGCGGGGGATAATCTGTCGGAGTCGAGCTTTCGACGGGTCTTGTGTGATGCTGGGTATTCCTTTGGGAGAGGGGTGACTAAGCTGGAATTGTCGGATGAGATGGAGAAAGTACGAGGAGGAATGGGGGAATGATGAAAATGGTTTGGATTGTGGGTTGATTGCTATTGGTGATGTCGGTGAGATCATGAGATGGGGGCTAGAGAGTTTGTTGATGTTGGTACTACCTCACTTTGTTTGCTGGGTTTTGGTGAGAGGGTTTTTTTTTTGTCGTGGGAGAGGAGGAGGATGGGGATGGGGAAGAAGGAAGGGGGAGGTGGTAGGGAGGATGAAGAGGGAAGGTGAGAGCGTGTGTTATCTTGTATTGTACGGATAGACATAAAAAGATAGGTTTTAATCAATGAGCCTCTAGGATCTGCAATTACCAAAATAGAAATGTGTAACCACACCTCTTATTTCCAAAGAAACTTAGTTAGAACTTTATAAATACCAAGAAAGTCCTCTGTGTTAGAACCAGGCACCACAAAACACCTAGCCGAGGCCTTCTTTCCCGTACAAGAGGAGACACTACAGTCGCTCTCAAAAACATCAATAGCATACAGCGCTCCGCCACGCCATTCTGAGAGATTTAGGTAGAGAATCCCTGGGCATTACAGAATCAGAGCAAGTCCTCTGAATTCTTAAACCTGTTTAGCAGAATGATGAAGGAGTGAGAATCATCGAACCCGGACGATTGGAGCGAGATCATGGTAGTACCAGCGACCTTGTATCAAAGCTCTCAAATAATATTAAGAAGGTAGTGAGTTCTTATCTTCCATAGGATTTATGAAAGAATCGACAGTAGCTAATGAATCGGTGGTAAATGTGATTTGGTATTCTGCTTTTTGATAAGCGAATGCTGGGGGTTGTTGGCTAATAAGGGGATGGAATGTTGGTGATGAGATAGAGCTTTTTGTGGACGCAGGTGGGTTATCTTGGTGGGGTGGGAGTCTGTGGATAAGTGAGAATGATAGTACATTTTTTAAAAATGTTTGGTGTTGTGTGGGTCTTTTGGGATGTGGAGGGTGATGGGATTTTATTGGTGTGGGTATGGACGTGGAGGAGGGTGGGTTGGTTGGTTAGTAGTTTTGGAGGGGGATATGATGTGATGAGATATTTGCGGTTTTGAGTATAGCGAGTTTGGAAGTACGGTATTGTATCTTCAGTTCCTTCCCATTACAAACTATCAAAATAGTGACTGAGTAGCTAATCCGCTAACTATAAGGAACAAAGGAGTCTTTTTTACTCATATATATATACCTCCCTATTCCATATTATCTCGAAAGCATGAATATTTGCGAAGAATCAACCCAACACTGCATTGTGCACCGTATATTTGGAGAGAGTGCTTCTCTTTCCCCGGTGGAATGGATAGAGGTGGATTTTGGGAATATGTACATGATCTGCAGGGTTGATTTGAGGTCTTGTTATAGACCGTTGTTGGGATGGGAAAGGGATTAGGTCATCGACGGTAGGAGGTAATTCGGTGGTAGATTATTTGGATGACGGGCCGTTGTTGAAGACTTGGAGATGTTGACTACCGGTAGCGAATGTTGGGGGGAGGGTGCACTATGCTTTATAGTGGACGTATACATAAATCCGATGGGATCTCTCGGTTTGTCCTCCTACCAGACCAGAAAACAAACACACCACTCGAAGATTCTGGACGCAAGATACCGGGTCTCTAGGGACTTGTTATAAGTTAAGTCAATCGGAACTTTTGCTGAGGGGGATATGGAGGTTTTGGTGGGATAGGGGGATGGATGATGAGTATTTTTGGCTGTGATAATGAGGTTGGGCTTTGTATTTGTGGCTGTGGTTATATTTTTCTTCTTCTTTGAGCGTGGAAATTGTGTTTATGTGTAATCTTACGGTAAGAAAGAGTTGCCGGAAGGCAAGTGGGGTGGTTAATTTTTCTCGTAAGATGTGGTAGCCTGCCTTGAGAGTGCCAATACTGATTCCCCTAATTCGCACTCAATCTCCTCTACTGGTAAGCCATAGCTTCACATACCATGTAGAGTAAAACAGTCTGGGCTTTGGAATCTTTTTCTACACAAGTATATATAGACCTTTCATTTGTAAGAATCATAGGTATGAAACGCAAATCGCAAATCGCCAGTAATAAGGGATGTCGGCACTTTGATATTACAGACTTGAGGGTTATATCGTTCTCACCTTTGAACATGGCGCAGTCAGCTGATGATGCTGAAGGCTTATGTCTGGATGTGAGTAAGACTCTTCTTTTTTTGGACGGAACGGAGGTGGTATAATCGACGGTAGGTTAGAAATCGATAGTAAAACATCAAGAAAATAAGAAGCCGACTTAGATTATGTGAGTCTTGCATTTTCCACCACAAGTCCAGAATCTCGCTCTTCGGTTCTTGGGTCTAACAGAGTTTAGGTAACTTTAATCTGGGGTTTCTGTTCCTCATCAGCCCCATACAGAGGTTGTAGTACTTGTTTTCTTCTTGCTCAGAACGCGGTCGGTCACTACTGATTGCGAATTTATCTACCATCTAACTTGCTGAAAGACTTTGAATTTAAAGTGCATTATACTGGGTTATTGATAAGTAGAGCGAGACGGATCAAATATATAACTAAACATGTACAGTAGATGAACGGTACCGATATCACATCCTAAACAAGTCAAGCATATCACCCAGTGAAAAAGAAAGGGTAGTATATAGAGCACCTTCTTCTTTCCCTCCGCTTCACAAAACAAAGTGTAACCGAAATGTGGTGATAGCGATAGATACAGGTAACACATTTCTCCGTGTCAATTTTTCGAGGTGCGCTATCTGTTGATGTCATAGCAGTGCCACATGCAACAAAACTTTGGGAAATTTCCTTTTCTGGTAATTGGGAGGAGGTATTCACTGTTTTGCTTCACGGGGAAACTGTAGATAACGGCGAGTTCCTGGTGGTAAGCTCCGATTCCGTGGTTGATAAGAGATAGGAGCGGGGGTTATGGGAAGCCGTGTATGGAGTAAAGGATGGATGAAGTGATAGAGGGGGTGATGGCGTTTACTTTTCATATTGTGTGCTTGAAATGAGCGACGTAATGTTGTTTAAATGAAACTGGTTGTTGCGATTCTAAGGAACCCCAGAACCAATGCAACGATGAAAGCGACGACATTTCCATCGGTTAAGAATATGTGTCGCCGAATCTCACATTGTAAGTTGTAGACAAAGCTTTTCTTATAGAAAAGGCGACAAGACCATGTGATTCTCGCTATTCTCCTTCTGCTGACACCATATGGCATAATATTTAGACGTCTTTTTGTAAAAAGTCATCACCTTGTATTCATATGATTTCGAGTGTCATTCTGCGGTTATTTTCATCCCAATGGGCCTGCAAGGATTAAATAATGCTCATTGAGACAACATTTTAGAGGATAAGAAAGCTTCTACAAAGGATAAATCCTCCAAATCCGATGGCATCTCTACGTCCAAACTTAATCAAGTCAAAGAAAGATTTATGCTTAAGAGCATATGTTATTTCAGCATAAAATGACTTTATTAAAAATTCCAACTCCCCATAGGATACGCTCATAGTGTACCGTAGTCGAAGCTGAAGAGCCCCCTTTTTGCTATTGATGTTATGCAGGGGTCCCCTCAATCAAAAAACACACCTCAAACATTAGAGATCGCCCAAAGCCATTTCATTGCTCTTTCTTGCTCTTTCAATTGACTTTGTCTATTATATTGCGAGTCTTGAGAACACAAAAGTTGGAATTCAATTACGGAATTAGAGGGCAGTCACCCTGAGAGTTATTATCTTCAGATGCAGTTAAAGCAAGAATTCGGCTGGAATCGACAGTGAGAAACAACTCGACAGTGATAGAATTGCTTGAAAATGCACTCTTCAATATGAGTAAAATATGGCATTTAGCCTGCGTGTCATACAATCCATAATTGAGACTTCTTGCCCGGAGAAAGTCTTCTTCTCGTGTTCCTTCATTGTGTTTGGATAACATTGAGTGAATCGATAACCATGTGGAGCTACCTATTCTTGCGATCAGTAGCTAAGTCGTTGTCTTATTTATCCTATAATTTATATTGACAAAACCATAGTGATTTATCCTTGGCAAGTAATAATCTCGCACTGACTTAGGTTGGATTTACAATCATCTTCGCTGCTTCTTTCAGGTGTAATATTTGAGCTGCCCGCATACATCACTATCCTCCCATACACATTAGCCATTCGATTTGCCTGTTCTTGTGAGCTGAGAGATATCTTCTCGCAAGTGACTGGTACAGACCCATAAATAGACTCGGCCAGAGAAGCGTCAGACTTGTGATTACTCACAGCCGACAGACATTGTTTTATCTTAGAAGATTGATCCACCCAGCTTCCGAGTTACTTACAATTTCCTGCTGGTAAAATAGAATAATCCAAGGATCGCGTCACTCCTGGTGGATGTTCATAATAGCGCCGCAGAGATAGTACAACGGAGGCTATGTACTACTTCTTTGGTGTCCATCGCGAAGATGGGTTACTTGAAACGATGAGCGAGAGGTCAGCCGCGGTTGTTGGTGTTAGTTGGCGTGGAAAATATGGACCTGTTGTTTGTTTTCTCACGGAAATGATTGGCCAAATTTGCGAAACGGGAACTCGGAATAATAACCGAATTGTTGGCTTATTAATGACAAAAGTAGCCATTAAAGTCTTCTAGGTACATCGGGAAGGTTCCTTTCTGCCCAACAGATTTGAGGCTTATGATGGCTACAGAATGACGACCAAATCTATTCATACAATTCATTATTCTTTGTTGACTGAGAACAGATATCACGATGCTACAAGTAACTATAAAAGTAAATGCGAAAGCCCTCACTTTCTTTCTTACTTAGCAATCATCCACGAGCTCTCTTTCCTAACCATCCGTTCAAAATACAATCAGAAAGCAACTACTTTTCAATACTGCAAAAATGCGACTCTTGACCACAGTTCTCCCTTGGATCTTCGTCCTTCTTTCCACCTCAGAAGCCGGCTCCTTCTCACCTGAAATACCATTCCTCAATAAACACAAGGTCCAATTCACCCTCTTTCCAGTTTCCTCCTTCACACCCTACAACACAACTGTCCACACAAACATCACAGTCGATTTCCCCATCAATAGGCCACAAGAAATCACCGAAGAACCGCTCAAAACACAACTTAGCCAGTCTATCGAATTCGTGGCGGTACTTGGACCGAGCACGGGGGGACCCAATACCAATGAAAGATGTCATATCTTTACTGAGCCGAATAATGAGAGCAGAAGGGCCTTCGAGGTGGGAAGCGATAGGGTGGATATTGGTGGTGGTATAAGGCCCGGTGAGACTATTGCTATGGTGGATTGCTTTCTGCTCGACGATGCTGGGAAGAGGATTGGTACTTCGTGTCTCGTGTCTGATGATTGTATATCGACTGCCTAGAACCATACAACAGCTTCTTTCTTCTTATAGATATATTCCAATAGATATGTTCCACTTGTACTTCCGAAAGGTTCGCTGAAACTCAAAATGATTCACTGCACTGCACAGACTAGTTTCTTGAACTGTCTGTTGGAAGCCTTCGAGCATGCAATTCCATTGAACAGAGTCACTGCCTTGCATTATTACATGAGTCGAAAAGAATTGCGATCAATGGGTAAAAGTATTCATGTAATTAAAAGTCACAATTCTGTCTAATTATGATACGCCAATTCAAAAATAGAATCTTTTCAGACTTCACTGGCGGTGGCCGGTGTATCACCTCTCCTACTCTATTCACCCCCGCACCCCCTCCCCATCCACATCTCAACCTCAAATTTCAAACTTCTCCCCTTCTCCCTCCTCCCCTCCCGCCCAAAAAAACCCCCCAAAGAAATCAAAAAAATGCCAAAAAAAAAAACAAGCCCAAGGGCTCGGACTACAGTGAGTTGCGAATTAAGCTTAAATGGTTTGGTTTGGTTTGGTTCCCACTTTAATATATCTGTGCGTAGTAGGAATATGAAATCTTTTTACGATTTTTACGATTTTCACGACAACGTAAGAACAGTAATAATAAGAGCTATGTTACCTTTACTTTACCCTTTACTACAAATTCTACCTACTAGTAGCCCTCCGACAGCCCTCCGATAGCCCTCGCGACAGCCCCTACCCCTATATATATACGTCGAAACATAGCCCCCCGCCTTACTTCTGTTGAAGAACGAGCTATTATACTAGCAATCTACGATAGCCTCGGTACACCTGATCTACAGGCAATTGCGAACAATATAGGACGAAGTAAAGAGTGTGTTCGGCTTATCTTTAATAAGCTTCTTAAACGAGAAGGGATAACAAGGGATGAGTAGCTTATATAGCACGAACAGGACAACCGGCGAGGACAGAAGAAGAGACAGCGAAGGATAGAGAAGGAATGGGCTAAGGCAGAGAAGGTAAGGCGTATTAGGATAAGAAAGAAGAGAGTAATAAGGAGGATTAAGAAGGAGTATAAGGAAATAGGACACGCGCTAGTTCGGCAGTAGGACAAGGACAAGCTTAGGGAGCTATGCGCGGGGTACGTAAGACTAGACGTCCCTGAATACGACCCTATAAGCTCTTTAGAATCCTCTAGTAGTAGCTTAGAGTCTGAATCCGATTCTGGGGCCTCTAGTGATTCTGGATAGAACTTTTCGCGTTCCTACTACGCACGGATATATTAAAATTAGAAACCAAACTAAACCAAACCATTTAAGCTTAATTCGCAACTCCACTGTAACTCTGCATCCCTACATCTCTTTTGAGTCTTTTGAGTTCAGGAAGTTGGCTTATCTCGCAAGATCAGTGGCCCCTCCACTTGACCATTTCTACTGATTTGCTGGGTGGAGGAGTGTTATTTGTCGATATGATACTTTGTTGGTGGGAGAGTGGGAGTTTCTTGTCTTTGTGTTCATTATGTTCACTGTTATTTATGAATGTATTTTGTGTAATATTCGTAGATTTGGTAAACTGGCTTTCGTCGCTATCGGGGTTTGATTAGACTGTTTGAGAATTCGATCTATTTGAGGGGTTTTCCTGATTTTCGTTGGATGTAGATGGAAGATAGAGCTTTCAATTCAAAGTTTTGTGGGGCTTTTATAGGTAGGTAGGTAGGTCATGATTTGTGTCCCCTCTCGTCGTATTGAATAACAATCCTAAAGTAAGTGAAACATAATTGTTGGCTGTGCGGCTGAGGGCCGGAGTGATGTTGGAATCTAAATTTGGCCAACGAAAGCAAGCAAGCAATCTGAGATCCGCGCGATGCACGTTACACTCCCTTCAATCCCTAAGCGATGTTGGTGTTGTCGTGTAAGGAGGCTATGGGTGAGACTAAGTGGGGCTGTAACACCAACGCTCGTAGCTAAGCGAGAATGGACTGGACTGGCTCCCGGTGGACAAGAAAAGTGGCCGAGATTCATTTTTCAACTATTAACGTAAGTTAATTCTGAATACTCAAATGTTTAAAATATGAGGTAGAACAATGGCTTTTATTGTACTATCGTTTTCGATAAATCATTTTGATTATTCTAAATAGATGACAAGTTATATTATAATGATTTTTAGTTAAATCAGGATAGATAAAAGAGGTCTGCCAGTTTTCTTGTCCACCAGGAGACTGGACCATGGACCACTTAAGGAAAATATATAAAGTATACTACAGTGTCTATCGTTCTTCATTTCGAAATCTCTCATACGTGTGTCATCTTATCTCTGGTTTCCAAACGACCTTAAAGAGTCCTACTTTGGAAGTCCACTACAAGGCAAAAATGCACCTTCAAATTATCCTCCTTGCTATCACCTCCCTCTTTCTCGCAATCACTGAAGGAGCCCCTCAGCCATTCAACGAGGTAGATGGCGAAACTGAAATAGTAGTCAGTTTTTACCCTTCACAAAACTTCGACGACGTCAATCAGCTACGGCCGGGTGTATTTGCCGTTTTCCCCTTGAACAAGCAAACAATAATCACCAACGCCTTCGTGCAAAACGTCACGAATGGAAATATGCGTTTCGTGGATGCGATCCCATAAGAGGAAAATGCTCAGGCAAAGTGTACTTTCTGGGCGGACGTGAATGGGGAAAGCGTTGTGGCGACGAATGTTGGACCGGACGGGTTATTTATTGACGAGGGTACAATCATTGCAATGGTGTTTTGTTCTGGAACCACCTTTTTTCCGACAGAAAGGCAGTAAGTACGTGCTCATATGCTGAATGCGTCGCCAAATATACTTATCGCTGAATAGGCTTTCGAAAGCGCCGCGCGAAACCTTGACATTGGAATAGGAATCATGCTGAACCTCTAGTGGTGCGATCGATACTCGCGTAGTTGTAAATGCTTACAAGACGAAAATATACTTCAAAAGAGTGTTATCTTCGAAAGGTGTTTTGTTTTCGTGGCGGTCTAAATGTTGTTTCGGCGGTTTTCTCTGCTACAATGTCAAAAGACAATATGTAAATTTTGATCACCTAACCTGCGGTTCGAGATACCCAACGAGCCATGATCTTCAATTAGACATCGTGATTAGTGGAACCACGTGTATAATGTTTACAATCTTGATGCTTGTTTCCTTGATAAAGCCCCCATGAAATCATTATGTCAAAGCAAAATTAAGCGATAGTGTCATTTATCGTAAACGTGCTTGGCACATGACTAGCCTTCTGTTCTACAAAACTTGAAGTAAAATGGTTATGTGAGTTAATGAGGTGTGCATAGATGCCTGTATATGCGGAAGGAACACGATAGTCATCGTAACAAGTACCAATTACCTGATTGAAGAAACTCTAGAATGCTATCGACCAAACTAATTGAGCATTCTGCCTACCGGTATCTGTGCAATTATGGAGTAATAAATTGCTGTGAAATATTAAAAAGAACTTTAGACTGTTAAGCTGAAAATTGAATGGAAGAGGCTTCTGAAGTTATGTGTTTGTTTGGTCTGATATGATTTGATAGTACTCGTAACTCGTGCGAAATTGTTACCACACATTAGAAGTCAAAGAACCTTGGAAGCACACGGCAACTTTACAAGAACACAAATCCAGTAAATTGAGTCCCGTGAGTGACAGACCAACTTGACCCTGAATCTAGTAGTTTGTGTATCAATAAATACTGCGTACCAATGTGCCAAAAGTGGCAAACACCTGTCGAGATTGGATCTCAGACCCTCACCGGAACCACCTATAGCCGAAACATACGCCAACAAAACACAAAGTCCTGAGTAAGAGACTGGAGAGAGATATACTCGAAGCAGTCAACATGACCACAATCCTAGATAAAAATCCCATCAGCAAGCAGTAGATATTTAAAAATAGATCCTATATTCAATGCTGGTGAGAAGTGGCAGTGTTTTGGCTCGGCAAAGTGACGATCCGACAGGGGGCTTGTAGGGACAACAAATAACGACATTGACAAATATCTAGACAATTAACCGTCATAAGAACTATTAAAGCGAAGGGTTTCTCGCTTTCTTTTCCTTCCCATCCAATTCACACCAATACATACAAACTCTCATCTCTACTACTTTCATATCGACACAACCAAAACACCAACCAACAAACATCCAACACTAGACCAGCGCCCAGAACCAATCACCCTACCTCAAAATGCAACCAACAACCCTCCTCATCCTCGCCCTCTCCACCCTCGCGACCGCGACATCATCCAACACAACCAGCACCAAACTCCCAACCTGGACCCAAACCTCAACCTTCATCACACGCACAACCACATCCGAGTCCACATGGAAAACCGAAGCTCCCACCACCCGGAACATACCGATCCAATTCAACTTCAATAAGACCGAATTATCTCGGCAATTTTCGTTTCCCCTCGATACATTCATACCTACAAGATTTCGGAATCCAGTTATTGTGAGTGTACTCATAGTACCGGGACTTGACAATCCTGTTTCGGGGGTGTTATGTGAGATTTTTGCGGATGAGAAGGGGACGAAACTTCTGCAGGATGGTGTAGGGGAAGCGAAACGGGTTCTTGTTGATGTTCCTGGTACTGGTGTTGCGGTTGGAGGTGTTAAATGCAAGAAGCACTGCTGATGGGCCCATTGGGGAATGATACAAAATTAGGATGCGTATCACGCAGAGAACTTGTAATGGGGAGCGGAGTTTGGTGGCGGGTCGAGAAATTGTTTGTTTGTTGTTTTTTCCTTTGCTTCTTTTAACCCAACTCCCTAGACTGAATCATTGAATCAACGTTAGCCACACAAGAATTGTCCTCGATCTTATAAACAAATCCTGTAAACAGTGACTTAGTGATATTAACTTATACCTAGTCTTCGGCTTCAATTGATCAAGTTCGCTTGAATGCAGAAAGGTAAACTCAATACAAATGCCATTCAGAACCGAAACCCTCAAATCACGATGGAACAAATCCGTCAAGAGCACTTCGCGCAAGATCCGGCCTTATAGAAACACAAGCACACTTCACCACACTTCTTCGGCAATAATTATATCCAAATCCAGTGGCGACTGACCCGAGCAGAACAGAAGAAAAAGAGGAGAAAAAAGGCACCTCCATAGTCAAATCCCTTACCTTGGTAAAATTAATACCAATCGCCTTCCACTTTTGCAATTCTCTGCATAGCTACAGGTAAAAGGGGAAAACCGTCCCAGTCATTAATGTTATGTTCCACGAAAGCCAGGCGGTTTGGAAAATATCAGAAAGAGAGCCCCTGAGGAGCATTGACTTGAAAGTCGAAGTGACATGTAGAGCCTCATCACACGGCGAGAGATCTTTTCATTTATTTGAGATCAAGGAAGTCATAAGAAAACGATTATCAGATATGCTTACTATTTTGGCGTCTTTAGCCGTGGGAATGAATGCTTTTTGTCTACGTCTCACGAACATGGAAAGATACTATTTGACCTTCGGGCCAGGCAGGCGTTCTTGTCTAGGAACGGATATGGCAATAATAAAGACCTATAAATTTATCTCAAGCTTGTTTTTGAAATATGATATATGTCAAGCATTGATCCGCTCAGGAAATTTGCTTAAGTAGATGCATCTAGTTGAGCCCACAAAATAATGGAGATTGCAAAACTCTTGGTTCGTGAGATAGACGGGAATTGATGCAAAGATATTCTCGGCGTCTTCGCGAGGACTGTATACAATATGCTCAGTTTCTATCTACTAGAGGATGGGAAAACTTGCAAATGTAGGCATAGATTTTATAGCTCAATCTGACAAAAGCCCTTGTGAGGGTTTAAGAGGAAGAAAAAGTAATAAGCGAAACTTATGAGATCAGGTCTAGGTAGCACGGAAAGAGACAAGCTGATGTGCAGGATAAACTGCAACCTCATTGTTATAGATCTCTAGAATGAGATGAAAACAATTTCAAACAATCAAATTAATGTGTCAACCCTTTTCAGAAGCATGGAGTAATTGGACAGGATGGTGTAGCTTGCTTCAATACTGTAATTAACGTGCGAGTGTAGGACAAGGAAGGATGAAAGGGCCAGAGCAATAACAAAAACACGATCTTCAAGATTTCAAGGCAAGTTTGAAAGTGAGTGACGAGATGAATTAAATATAAAAGAGCAGTTATGGCTTACAGAGCTTAAAAATATGTAGAAGTGACATTGTGAGTGCCAACTTGAGGAAGCTGTGTAGAGTAGAGCAAGTTCCAAAGCAAGACTTAGGATAGCTAGAAGACAGATTATTGAGTGCATGAACAGGAGAACGTAAAGTGAAGAAAAAAAGCAGCAGAAGTGATCGAGAGTATCAAATTAACGCAGAAATTGCACATGTGTGACGTGATGGAATACTTGTGGTGTACTCGTTGAGGGGACTGTTCACCAACTCTGGCCGAAAATGACGGGGTTTCGGCGACAAGGATCAAGTTCCATTTCCACAAGAACATTCCCCTCCACAACACCACCTCGAGACCACCTCACCACCTCACCAACACTCGTCCAACCCACCACAACACCTCCGCCCAAGAAACGAAACACACACCCAAAATGAGCGCAAAAATCGAGAAGATCATCGTCCGTCTGCAAGAAAAGTACGTCTCATCCCCTCCTCCCTGGGTATATGATATAATCTAACCAAAACACCCCACCAGAATCACCGCAGGAGAATTCTACGAAGCCCAACAGCAAACCCGCGTCGTAGCAGCCCGGTACATCAAAGCCGAGAACTGGCCCGCAGCAACCGACATCCTCTTCAACAGCGCCTCGGCGCTCTTGAAAGCCGGTCAGGGAGGGAGTGGTGGTGATTTGGGACTTTTCTTGATCGATGTGTATAAACAGGCGGAATGGAAGCCTGAGTCTGGGAATAAGGGGAAATTGTTGACGCTGCTACGTCAGTTCAATAGTGAGGAGCCGACAAGGAAGAAGTTTGTTGCTGAGATGATTGGGTGAGTTTTGTTTCTGAAAAGGAGGGGAGGGGAGCTAATGGGTTGTAGATGGTCGGCGAAATTTGGCGATTACCCCGCTGGAGAGCCGGATTTACATCATGTTGCGGGATCGCTGTATGCGGAGGAACTCGATGTCTACGAGGCGGAACGACATCTTACATATGGAACGAAGGATTCGCCCGAGGTGTTTGTCAAATTGGAGTATGAGTGGTATACCCAGGATGATTCTCATACTGCTGCTCTCTATGCTGCTCGAGCGGTCTTCCCATATCTTCTTACTGGAAACGTCCGCGATGCTTCGAAATCATTACGCTTATTTACGAGTCGATTGGTAGAGGAGAATAAGGGACTGGCGGTGCAGGATGTGAGCAGTAATAGTTTGGACATGAGGGTATATCCTAGTATTCCGCTACTAAACTTCTTGGGTCTGCTCTTGCTGGCTTATCAGAAGGGAGCTGCGGATATGTTCAAGCAGCTTAAGACCAAGTACGCTGTGCATATAAAGGATGTTGGCATTTGGGACGAGGCGTTGGTGACAGTGGCAGAGATATACTTTGGCATCCAAAGACCGCGACAAGGAAACCCTCTTATGGATATGATGGGAAGCATGTTTGGTGGAGGAGGAGCACCAGGAAAACCACAACCAAAGCGTGTTGGAGCCTCAGCACCAGTCGCAGAAGGACTAGACTAGACTAATGCCTAACCAATCGACGTAAAAATTCCCAAAGCAATTCTCTTCTTTACTGAAGCAAAACCGTGGGGTATACTGAAACGCCGTTCGTGAATTCGTCAAATCATAAAAACTCCGGGAAACCAAATCCTCTGAACCAAAACCAATCTGCTACCGAACAGGAGCTTCTTCTTCAGGTTCGTACATCCAATTATCTTCTGCTAACCTGGCAACCTTCGCTCGAAGACTGTTCTTTACAGCTTCCAGTAATTCTACAACCAGTCATTAGCACATCCCCATATCCCAAAGCAGAGCAACAAACCAGCCGGCTCACTAGGCGCCCGATTCCGATCTCTATGATGCTTCACTGCATCTGAAATTCTCTGTCTTTCCTCTTGAATCCCAATCAGCACTTTTCCTCAAGCCCCCCATCCCTAGCATCACCAAAAAGAGAAGGAATCTTACTATCCTCCAACCCCTCATCATGAGCCGCCACTACCTCCTGCTCATCAAAACTCTGCATAGGCGGATCCCCAATCTCAAACTCGCCGTTCGAATCCCGGATCACGATATCGGAGGAATCAGACGAGGTGCGATCCAGCTCGTTGGAGAGACGGAGGGTTTCTGCGGACGTGGATGTCGAGGATGTGGTGGGGCGGCGGGAGAGCTGGTGGTGGAAGAGGTTTCTGCGTACGCCGGTGCCGGTGCGGGTTGAGGGGGCGGTTCGACGTTCGGGCATGGCGAGGGGATATCAGTTGTTATTTATGTTTGGGGTTGGGCATTTGGAGGGGGTGGATGGATAGGTTGATAGATGGAGGAGAATGGGTTGTTTTGTTGTTTGTTGTTTGGATGCTTTGGCGGGGAGCTGGGAGGTGGCTGATGTTCGGGTTGTCTTGGTATATTCGGTGGATTTGGTGAAACCCTCGATTCTCCCTTTGTGACTACTTATGTTCTATCTCAATACTTTTTGTGTTACGCCGAACTCTGGCGCAAGCTGTCAAGATGAGTGCTTCTTTTGATATTCAACCTATTGGCAGATTTGCTGGTCAAAGTGCTCCTGTTAAACGTCCAAGGGTAAGAGAAATCTAGATGTTTCCTTGTTTGCATCTGAATGAGAGGATCAGCATACTTTGGGCTCTTCCATCTATATCATGCTGGAATTTTGTAGATTCGATACTTCAATATTTCATTTGACCTCTTCCCTTCAATATTAACAAGCGCTTCGTCATTTTCAAAACAAACCATCCCCTGTTCAAAATATTGCTCCCCAGGCTTGATTCAGCTCACAATATGTATAGGAAATAGCTTGCTTCTCCTATGATGAGAAACACCAATTCCGACTTGACGATTCGTCAATCAAATACTATTATCCCCCAACCTTAGGCGCTGATCTAAAAAAGGGCTTCGATACCTTTGAGAAGCTTGATGACACAGCAGACGATCACCTTGACAGCTTATTGAGGACCATCATGGCCCACGAAGAGAAGACCGGGAAACCAGTTGAGGCAGATTTCATAACTTGGCGTGGAATGATGACGAAATTCTTGGCTGCGATATTTTCTGATAGAGATAGCTTCGAGATGAATGCTACTCTTTTCCAAGTGAGCGTTCCTTTGTCGATACATATGGAGTTAGGCTGACAGAATAAGAATACTATGTAGGCAGATGAGTTGTTCATGAGATCAAAATTTCACTGATACGAGTAGCTTTGTGGAGGAGAACCATGAATATAAAGTTCAGTCGCAAAGGAGACAATCGCAGCAACCGACTCGACCTGGTCAGCAGTCCCAGGATATGATGAGCTTTTGGGGTAAGCTTGATTTCTCTTAATGATAGCATATGTTGACTTTCCAGGATATAAATTCGAGACTCTGTGTCTTCTCCCACAGACTTGGGCGGAAACTGAGAGAGACTATATCGAGAACAGAGAGAATGAAGTCGTTTCTAATCATGCACAATACTGTTCAGTAGTAAGTACTGACCTACCTTCTTGATACTTATAGCATTTGCTAAGAAGCTTTGCAGGTCAGGACCGGTATTGGAAATAACACCATGGTTCTGGGGGGAGAAGTTGATGCAATTTGGGACAGTAAACCAGAGGATGAGAATACTCCCATCAATTGGGTAGAGCTCAAGACGAGTGCCGACATACGGAATGAGCGAGATATGGTCACGTTTGAGAGGAAACTGATGAAGTTCTGGATCCAATCATTTCTTCTAGGTGTTCCCAAGATCATCGTTGGATTCCGAACTCCTGATGGTATCCTGAAAAGAACCGAAGAAATCAATACGGCGTCGATACCAAACACAGTCAAACGGGCCGGAAAAGGAACGTGGGATGGGAATATGTGTATCAACTTTGCATCGGGACTATTGGATTGTATGCTCATTCCCACAGTGTAGATGATTAGGCTAATAAGAATAGTTTTGAAGGTAACGATCACAGGGGATGGAGTTTGGAGGATCCGAAGAAGAGAACGGTCTTCTGTTATTGAAGTCTTCAAACAAGAGGAGACAGGTCATGGAGACATCCTGCACGATGACTTTATCAGTTGGAGAAGCAATTTAAGGATAAAGGAGGAAGTTGTGGAGAAAGAAGAGGTTCAAGAAAATTAATGTATTATACCAAAGGGGAAATCGAGGGAAACCAGGCTCGGGGACTGTGACTGTATCTGGAACTCGAAGGCAGAGGATGACATCTCACGGTCAATATGCAAACATCGGGAATGTATGCATATTGAGAGGCATGGCGTCTCACAAAGCGACTTGCTGAAGCCATTCTTTGGGACGCTCCTGATTAGGATGGTAACTCTTTCCCAAACATCGACTGTGGTTGCACTAAATAATATAGATGGCGTCCCCATCGAATTAGTGGTTGGCTCGAGGTTGACTCGTTGGCCATCGTCTGTCGGGCCGAGCTCAACAGATTTCTCTCCGTCGCGAGTCTTATCGATATCGGGGGGAGCAGACGAACGTCTAAAAAAATCAATTTCCAATTGGTAAGAACGCCAACAGCCCACGCCATTTTCGTCGCCGAGCTAGGACTCTCCTTACTCAGTTCCCGTTTCCTACTGTCCCTCGTTCAATTTCCTTCTCGACCGTCAATTGCGCGTCAATTGCGTCCCCAGATTGAAGAGTTCCATTCGATAAAACTCCCGCAGACCAATACGACATACGATACCAAGACTCACGAAGAAGCTTTCCCGGCCCCGGATTACCTCCGTACTAACCTTCCAAAAACAGACCAGAAGTTCTGTTGGGCCCCGGCTCTCATCCCATCATTAGGTTAAAAAATAACGATGCCCAATCTGAGCTTCACCTCTCTCTCTCTACGTACTCTCACTCGAACCGCACAGCAAATTCCCGTTCTTCGATCTCGAAATCTCGTCAACTTGTCCCTGCTCGCTCCAAAACAAAGTAAAGTGATGGCACCCACCTCGAATATTGCCCATCGGGCATACAGTCAAAACCGTTACTCGTGAGTCATTCATTGTTTTTATACCATTTTCCAAAAAGGGGAAGATTTTGACAATAATTCACAGACCGCCTGATACTTCTCATTCTGTAAAGGCTAGGAGAGCTCTTGGAACTCATGGTCTTGTACCGTATGTGGTGGAGAGCTATGAGGTGCAAGCCCAGAGATGTACGGTGACCGCATCTAATGGTTGAAACATCCTTCTTTGCTAATCAATTGATCAGGTCTGAAGCAATTGGAGTCCAAGACCAGTGCGATTGAGAAATACATATATCTCAGTAATTTGAGAAACTCCAATGTTCATCTTTTCTACCGTTTGGTTCTTGATAACTTTACTGTAGGTTGTTTTGGTCCCCGAGATCGGGTTATACAAAGATCACGGGACTTGGTGACTGATGCACTTACGTATAGACCCTTACACCTTTAATCTACACTCCTGTCGTCGGGGAGGCTTGCTTGAAGTGGTCGCATATATATCAACAGCCTGAAGGTATGTCGAACTCAGTCCCTTATATTTTTGGGAGTTTTATCATCACGTGACCAGAATGACTGACCACTTCCAGGCATGTACCTCTCCTATCAGGATCGAGGTTCAATAAAGGATATTCTTCAAAATTGGCCTCAACCAAATGTAGAAATGACTGTCGTTACCGATGGTGTAAGTATACCCTAGTTCATTTCCATTGCTTCCGTTTTGTCTCCCACGTCCCGAATCATTTCTAATTCTTCAATACAGAGCAGAATCCTTGGTCTCGGAGATTTAGGCATCAACGGCATGGGTATTCCTGTTGGAAAGCTTGCTTTGTATACGGGGTGTGCTGGAATCCGACCAGAGGTCACTCTTCCATTAACTTTGGATTTGGGTACCAACAATGAAACACTTCTTAATGATCCATTATATATGGGGGGTCGAACGAAGCGAGTAACAGAAGCTCAAGAGGCAGAATTTCTCGAGGAGCTGATGGTTGCTATCAATCAAGTTTGGCCTGGGTGAGTTTTGTTTCCATGGAGAAATGGGATGGCGCTAACGCAAGATAGGATTGTGGTTCAATTCGAAGACTTCAAGAACCCATTTCCAGCTCTTGAAAAGTACCAGTACAAATACACGTGCTTCAATGATGATATCCAAGGAACGGGTGCTGTCATTCTCGCCGGTATAATTACTGCTCTCAAAAAGTCTGGTATCCCAGTAAAAGACCAGCGAGCTGTTTTCATGGGTGCCGGAAGTGCTGGTGTGGGAGTTGCTAAGCAAATTGTGGAATATTTCATCAAGGAAGGATTGACAGAGGATGAAGCCAGAAAGCGCTTCTGGTTTGTTGACACCAAAGTAAGTTTATCCTTTAGTCTACCACTTTCCCGACAAGAAGGCTTACAACCACACAGGGACTCATCACAAATGATCGAGGTGATAAGTTGGCCCAACACAAGATCTACTTCTCCCGTGATGACAACGAGAGTCAACAATTCAAATCTCTCCCCGAAATTGTCGACTACGTCAAGCCAACAATTCTAATGGGTCTCTCCACCATCCGCGGCATTTTCGATGAAACACTTCTAAACAAAATGGCTACCCTCAACAAAAACCCTATCATTTTCCCTCTCTCAAATCCTTCCAGCAACGCAGAATGCACATTTGAAGAAGCAATGAAATACACTAACGGAACAGCCCTTTTCGCAAGTGGTAGTCCCTTCCCTAATTACACCCACGCCGACGGCAAGGTCTCAAAATGCAGCCAGGGAAAGTAAGTATCCTCCATCCAACACGTAATATCTGAGCACAACTAACGTCCTTAGCAACATGTACGTTTTTCCAGGCATAGGACTTGGCTCCATTCTTTGCAAAGCCCAAAATATCTCCCAAGAAATGATCTACACATCCGCCACCTCTCTCTCCTCGACGCTCACCGATGCAGAGTATGACTCCGGGATGCTGTATCCTGAATTAGACCGTATCCGTGCTGTTTCTGTCATCGTCGCCCGTGATGTTATCCGTGAGGCCCAACGAGAGGGACTAGATCGTGAGCCGAAGTTGCGCAATATGTCGGATGAAGAACTAGATACGTGGATTGAATCGAAGATGTATGATCCTAGGGCTGAAGACGGGTTTCTGGAGTTGGAGCGTGAGAGAGTTGAGAGTTTGCTGCGAGAGAGTGAGGTGGGTGAGTTCCAGGTGAGAGAGAAGTTGGTGGGTAAGTTGTGAAGTAGATGGCTGGATGGATGTTGAAGGTGTGAAATGCGAATGCGCGAAAGGCCATTATGTGGAGGGGTTTGGCAGCAAGGGAAAGTGGAAAAGTGAGGTTGTAAGAATTGTGTTTGCTTATAGGGTGGTGGCATAACTCTAGAGTGAGCTTTGCGAGAGAGGGTACATAATTTAATTTGCAAATTCGCTTTACGGAAAAGGGGAGCTGTGTGATGTTTTTATACGTGTGACTTGTGCTCTTATAGTACTCTCTAGTACAAATACTATATTCTCAGTCCTCTAATATTTCATAGGTATTACTTAAGCTCTATTTAATTAGAAGATGTCGTCCTTAATATCGTCCCACTTTGTAAAATATAAGCTAATACGTATTCCGTAGCTCGTAGGTCTTTATAGTATCTATCCCTTACTCCGTAACAAGCACACATCTGGTAGGAACTCAAGCGACAACACCAACGCCAAACCCAATTAGGCCGTGCCAAGTATCAAAATGGAACGTCTCGTCAGAAGTGGGATAATAAACAGGAATCAACTTTACTAAATATCTAAACAACAACAATATAAATAGTGACATTTTATTAATACTCAGGTTGTCCTATTAAAGGCCTCCTCACACACTCCTATTTCCTCGTGTACTACGTGTGTTTACGTATCTAAAACTTGTATCCGTAGAATACCTCTAACATATAATAGTACCTTACACTCGGTATAATAAGATCGATTCCTTGGGGCGGGTAGTAGCTCAGATTTCACGGTTTCGTCGTAGCTTATGTACCAGTCCTTACTAGTCTACCATGCACTGGGAGACTAGCTGAGAAGGACCCCCCGCTTAAGCTTAGCACTCTCAATGATAAAGCCTTTAAGACAGTACTCCAAGGAAAGCTAGAAGAGCAGTGGCTCTTTGAGCTTACACAAGAACCGGACACGAACTCGCTCGAGGCTTTAGCAGAGTTTATTATTAAGAGCGTACATAGTGCGTATCTTAGTAGTGCTAAACGAGGGCTTAGACACGGAGCTGGACACCCCTGGTGGAACGAGGAGTGCCAATCTGCGGCCACCGAGGCTAGAAGAGCAAGGAGGCTAGGAGCTAGCGCTGAGGCTGTAAAAGGACTTCAGA